CAGGAAGTTACCTTTGTTCAGATACACTGGTTGATGGAGACTTTCGAGACAAGCAGGAGATGACATCCACAGATGACAGCTTTGGGTCTTTCCAATAGTAGACAAACTCAATTGTTGGGGTCTAATGGCAACTAAACTTGGGGGTGGGGGCTTGCATAGAGCTGAGAAAAAAATGTTATGTCTATGTAAATGAATCAAATAATGTTTGAAACCAATGCTTACACCCTCAGGAAAAACTCTGTATAGACTTGTTCTCGAAATTTCAGTCTGCTGAGCAATTAAGGTGGTTCAATAAAACCTTGTCCTGGATCCCACCTCTCAACTCCCCTCTGGTTGGTGTTGTGTTTGATTTTGATGCTTACACCCTGCCTTGTCCAATTTTTAAAGACAGTAACATTGCAAAAGTTACTGTGAATTGGGTTCTGGTTCAGTACCAAGCTGTCCCCAATATAGGGGTTGAATACTTAAGTGACATTTTTCCATTAAAAAACAAATTGGGGGAGATGTGAGAAAACTCTGCTAATTAAGGTCGCAGTCCACCATGACCAAAGGGCCTCCGGGCTTGGTGCAATATGGGAAACTCCCTCCATTAGTAGGGTTTCTCCTTCTTTGATCTTGTCTGAGAGATTCCAAGCCCCTACATATGCCTCTACCTGAGGAATGTCACATAGCCTCAATTAGATTACAGGATCAATTTCTTTTCTCCTGATAAAACCTGTTCAGCCAGCACCTGAGATTCCTGAAAAGCTTCCCCTTGCTAATGAAGCATTTCAGGTACCCTAAGCTCTAGCCAATTAATGACCTTTGCCCATTCTAGATATTCCTACTCTTACTCCCTCAAAACTTTATAAACCTTGAGTCACCCTAAGTAAAGTAGATCTGCCTCCTGATAGCTGATCCTGGCTTCCACCCCCCCCCCCCCCCGCCTCCCTGCCATACCTCCCTGCTTGATATCTCTGCTTCCTTTGCCTTGGCAGAGAATCTGCAAGAGTGGAGAGACACACAGAAGAGTAGCTCAGAGGAGGCTATAGGAAGGGGAATAATTAGGAGTCATATGACAATCCGTTTTTACCCCCCCACACACACACACATCAAAGAGATTAAATTTGAATTATTCTACATAGGGGATAATGTTCTTCCCAGAAGCAATAGTGTGCAAAATAAAAAGCCTAATGCCAAATGAGGGGTGCCTTCCATCCAGTTGTGGTCCAAAGGGTGACAGAGCCGCCCAACCATCCAACTATATAGATTATTGGCAGTGCTCTAGGTAGTCCACCAGAATTAGATGGTAATAGCCCATTGCTGAGCATACTATATACTTTGGTCACAGTGCAGGGAAAAATCAAGCTGGCAGTGAGAAATGTCTTCCCTGATGGCTAGCTCTCCCAGTGCTTACTGGAAGAATCTAAGTAGGCTCTGTGAGAGAGAAGCCATGCGCGTTCTCATAAGGCTGCAAATACTGTGAGCTACATACAATGATAACCAGCTTGAAAAGATATACCCATAATGTAAGTACAATTGTGGCACAAATGTTATAGAGGTAGCCAACAGCTTCCTTATTAGATTTAAGGCCTGTTCCATGAGAAGAAATGGATGCCTAATATTATAAATCTGACCAGGAATCCATGGTTGGGAAAAGGTCTCAGGTTTCTGCAGTAATTTTCTGAAATCAAATTTCCATCTTCGAGGGAAGCTCTTTAATACTGAGGAAATTCTAAAGGGAGAATTGTTAAGATTTCATAAATATCTTGAAGCTTCAGAAAGTCCCTGAAACTGACCATATGCACTAGGTCCCTTACTACCCAGCAAAGATTGCTGAAAGACACCTCCCAGACCAGCTTGGCTGCCTGGGAGGGAAAAATCAGACAAGCTGCCTGGAAGGGGCAGAGACTAGCAGAGCTACCTGAAAAAACAAACAAACAAACAAACCCCCAAACAAACAAACAAGCAAGCAAACGCCCAAGACCCTATTAAGCTGCCTATAAATTATACAGTGAACTCCAGGTTTCCAACTTTCAAGAGTTGTCACTCAGGTTGGAGTGTCACCCATCCTGGTGACATCTTGCTTTTGGTGAAGCAGATGTTTTTGAGTTATTTCTGCTTCTATAAGTAACTGAGACTCGCACCAGTACTTAATCCCAGTACAATTGTACTGGTTCACCCGTAGCTGAGAAGCGACATAGAGCTGAAGACTGATAGGTGGAGGTGGGGTAGGGTGTGGTCTGTAGTAGACAGACCATGCTACAGTGGATGCCCCACAACCATTCATATATGGGCAGCTCAAACTGGCCTCACTCAATTATTTAAAAAAAAAAAAATTGGGAGGGGGTAAAGAGGTAGGGATACATTCAGAAGTTATTAGAGGAAGGAATGGGTATGTGTGATAATAAAGATAAATTATATGCATGCATAAAATCATCAAAGGATAATTAAAAAAATACTCTGAACCAAATTATAACAACCATACCACTTACCATAAAAATGATAAAAATCTGCTTTATAGATTACCTGAGTTATTTTTCAACATGTCTGTTTTCTGCAATTAGTCATAGTGATCTGTTCAAAATCTAAATTTAAGCTTGTTCTTCTTACAGTCCCTGAACTGAATCCCTGAAATTTTTGCCAAGTGTAGTGGCTCTGAGTCCTCTCAGGCTAAGGAGTAACATGGTGCACTACCTTTCCAGCATTGCCTCCCTGCTTCTGAGTGTCCAGCTCTTTTCTCTCAGGAGGCTCTCCTTCTGAGGATGTTTACTTGCTCCAACTACTTCCTAAGTAGCCAGTGCTTTCCTCTCCTCCCTAGTTTAAGCCCACTGCTACCTCAGTGCTCACTTCAGGTATCAGTTCCTCTAGGAAACATTGCAGCTTTCCAAAACTCAGAGAATTCTCATGCTATTATAGACCTAAGCTTTGTCAGGAATCATCACTCTTGGAAACTTCTGAGTGGTAATCAGCCATGGCCTCCTCCATTCAGATACATACCTCTGCAAGAGCAGGAACAATGTCTACGTTTGTTTAACACTGTATTCACAGCATCTGGCATAACTCAGGCATAAACTATCCCTTGAAACCATCTGATAATTGAGCACAGGAATAAACGAATACAGCTACAGCCTATGTTCAGAGCATAAGGTATCCAACCATTTGCAGACAAGGAACAATGCTTCCTTATAGGCTGCTAAAACCTGTGAGCAAAGAACAAAGGGGCCTAACCAGTAAAAATCAAGAACACGATACACAGAGCCAGTCTATGGAAATGACTTTACAGGACAATTTTATGTAACATTATGGTTTATTTCTAATAAAAGGTTGGGGATTAAACTTATGCTTCTTTGGGGCCATAGGACATACAGAGTGAATAAATTAACCACAAAATAACAGACAAAAATCAAAACAAACAAAAAATAACAGTGAAAATATAGGTAAAAGTGAATGCTCAAAATGAAGTATATTAAAAGATCAAACTAAATGGTGAATAGTTCCTTTTATAATTCCAAGAACAGCAAAGCTTCTAGCATTTTCTATGTAGTGAAAATTATATTTTAAAATATTTTAAATTGAACCCAAATGAATGTTAATAGTTTCGTTTTGTTTTGTTTTTCGAGACAGGGTTTCTCTGTATAGCCCTGGCTGTCCTGGAACTCACTCAGTAGACCAGGCTGGCCTCAAACTCAGAAATCCGCCTGCCTCTGCCTCCCAAGTGCTGGGATTAAAGGCGTGTGCCACCACTGCCCGGCAAATGTTAATAGTTTCATTTACTATTTGAGTAATTTTCCATTGAGGCAGGAAGATTCTTGTACAGCACCAGCCTTACTATATAATAACATCCTGTCCCCCAAAATTCAAAGGCCTCCTCTACACACCCACTTGTATAGTTTCATGTCAGTTTTCCCAATGTTAAAGAATAGGGTTGGAGATAAAGTCATTGTTTTAAAAACACACTATCCATGTAAACTTAAACTGATTATCTTTTCTAGAAATATATACTGATGAAATGTTTGTTCAGAATTATAAGTTTTCTGTTCCTAAGTTTGATTTTATCCTCTCTATTTTGAAAGGGAAATGAACAGCAACTTTCAGACTCAAAATAATGTATTGGGATGACCTGTATTTTTGGACCATTTACAGGTTAAGAAATGTAACATGCACTTTATTCTCTATCCATAAGCTGGACTTTGGCTAACACAATAAAAGCAGGAAGAAAATAAGACATGAGATTACCAGTTCAGTGAAATTTATAGAATTCTTACAGAAGGAAACTTACACTGGAAAAGAACAGGCTACCAAAGTCTCTTGGAGTAACTAGAAAAGTACACTTGGTGTAAGAAACCTCAAGAATACAGTTTTATATTTCCCTCATTAAGTCCAATCTCTGACAGTTTGTTTTTAATAGCATCAGTGACGTCTGATAATTCTTTGCTGAATAATGAATGTGACCACAGTGGTAACAAGTGCTCAGATTTACTGAGCACTTGCCTTGTGCTAGACACTAGTAAATATTTTAGATTTCAGGCTGACAGCACTTCTACAACCTAGGTACTGTTATAAAGCCCCACTGTAAACACAGAGGAAAAGAGCCCAAGAGATGTGTGAAGAAGCTAGGGTTTAAATGAAGATGTTTGATGCTAAAGCTCTTATCACCCCACTGTGGAAAATACTACGTCTTGTTAACAAGTAAGATTTAGAAACCATTTTACATAAGAATCTGAAACTGAAGTGTTTTCTTCCACATCTCGGTAACTTCTGGACAAAATGAAAAGCCAGAGCTCTGACATCGGCAGAGGCAAAGACATGTGATGGAGTCAGGAAGGAGTTGACTGAGGCGACTAATCCCACAGCAAAGCAACTGTGTTTTCTGTAGTGTGAACTGATAAGATTTCTGGGAAACATTCCATTTATTACTGATTGGATTGTCATCTGCACAAGATAAACTAAATATGGACTCACAGTATTACTTGTTTGCCTAATATTATTGTGGAATAAAAAGTCTCCTATAGGCATACCTTGGCAAAAAATACGGTGAGGTGAGTTTCGCTGCCAACAATCCAAATAGGGAATTTTGGAGATTTCAAGTAAGAACCAACCTAGAATAAATTCAGCAAAGTAAAACAAATAAATGAAAGATTTTATGTTGTCCCTTAAATATTTGTGCAGAAATATGTGGAGCATAACAGGTGACTCATTAATACTTCTTACCACAGAGGTTAGATGCTGAGTGCAGAGGGACCTGTGTCTAAGCTTACACTGTATCTTTAAACCAGGCACTGTGATGCAGATCCTACACACATGTGTGTCACAGCTGGAAATGAGGACTTTAGATAAAAAAATCATGCTCAGCTTTTGCTATATTTCCCAGATAGAACAGTCACTTCAGGAATCTCAACTTGGCACAAACTTAGAGACATAAATTTATAATTACTTTATAAGGTTAAATAATTGTAAATCATCTATTATTCATCTATTATATAATATATGAGTATATATATATATATGTGTGTGTGTGTGTGTGTGTGTGTGTGTGTATGATTGTGCCACCCTAAAGGCTATATATCCATATATGAGATTGTGTCAAAAAACCTGTAAGCATTTCATTTGTGACTGGGATTTTGAGCACATAAAACATATTTACACAGCCCACCATGTTTACATCAACTGATTCTACATTCCATAGGGACACTTCCTTTAAAAACATGAATCTTAGCAATCTAGTTGGCTCTTCGTCCTCAGACTGGCTGGGAAACTGGTAGAAGCTACGTGCAGCACTCAGGGTATATCACCCTTTTCTATTTAGCCAGCAGCCCCTGTCTTAGCACAACCACAGCCCCTGGGAATTTACTCTTACCACGAGGGAGGTGGAAATCAGGAACTCTGTATTCATGGGCAGAAAACTCAGTCCCCTTGTCCTATGAAAGCAGGGATGAGTCAGCTGTGCTAACACGCAACAGAAAACCTAGGAATGAGTGAGGAGAAGGCAAGCTGCTCAGTCAGTCGCTGTGGCTGTGGAGTTGAGCAGTATGAGACCTCACTCGAGTGGGAGCAGAGGTACCTGCATGGTGGCAGGGCCTGGCTGAACTTAAGCACCAACTACAGAGCTAGAATCACAAACAGTTGTTCTGACTCCTAGACTGAGTCACATACTGGATATTCTAGATACTGATTAATTTCTCTTAGAAAAAGAATGCGCAAAAAAAAAAAAAAAAAAAAAAAAAAAAAAAGCATGTGCCCTCCACTTAAGGTACAGGTTTAAAAAAGGGGAGAGGGTGTAATATTTTATAGTAGGAACAAAGGATAAATAAATTTGACTAATGGTGGATTTTATAATAAAATCAGTCACCAGAGTACACAACATTGTCCTTATTTTGGAAATCAAAATGACAGTTCTCTAATAGTTGAACATAGAATCACCATGTGGCCAGGCAATTTAATCCCAAGTACATGGTAACATAAAAGCATATGCCTACAAAAATAATATGTGGACAAATGTTCCCAGTAGTAGTATTTATAACAGCTAAAATTGGAAATTGTCACTCTGAAGTCTTAAATATGAACCATTAAGAATAGAGAAGACTCTTTTACTTAATTCTTCATGACAGAGGTTAAATTCAAAGTTTTACAATATGAACAGGGTTTTAAAAAACGTATAATTTGAAACATTTATCACTTAATAGATGGAAACAAGTTGAAACACTATAAAACAAGAGTGATTTCAACATAAAAAGAAAGAAAGTACTAATACATGAGTAAAGGAACCCATGGAGCCAGAAAGCCGAAGTGTGAAACCTGGTGAGAGGGAGAAGGAAGTGGCTGCCAGGTTAGAGCTTCTGGGGGGGGGGGGGCGGGGGGGGGGGAGGGAGGAAAAATCTTCCAAAATTAGATAAGGAGGATGGGTTGTACAGCCTTACAAATATACCAACATCCATGGAACTATAGACATCCAAAATGGTGATCTTTATGATGTATAAGCTATGCTTTCTTATTTTTAAATACACAGTTAAAAGCATCATTCTTTATTGGTATGTGTGTGTAGGAAGATTATAAATAAGTATTGCTTCATTTATGTTTCTAAATACATACGCTCAAAATAAATGATAGTTTCTTAGAAAGCAAACCATTCCACTATCAAAGAATGGAGAAATGTTTAGATTTATAACATTTATTCAACCATAATTAATTTCCTTTGTGCCATTCCCCTAATTATCTGGTAAAATGTAAATACAATACGTGTTGACTAAGAACTTGCATACTGATGAACTTACGTATAGCATTTTAGACACTGACTGCTGGGTTTTGATGTCCTAGTTATTAACTAGTCAGTCTCCTTTAAGGATAGCTGATTAAATTTATATCAATTCACTCTCTTCACACTCCTCATACTCTAGATCAGTCTACTTGCCCATATGTCAGGTACTAGACAAAAAAACAACCTTATGGCACAGAGCCTACTGGAATTATTCAAATTAGCACATCATGACAGTCTAGGGAACCAAGGTAACTCCACCCCTCTTGCCATGTACAATCTGTGCCTGCAGCTCCAATTTGCTGTTACCCAGGCCCCAAGCAAAAGCCCTTGGTGACTTGATTGTCAGCTCTTTCTATTTCTCATTGATAAGCAAACTTGCATCAGGGCATTAGAATAATCCTGTAAAAGTCTAATACCATTGAGAAAGTGAAGAGAAAATAAATTCAAGATAAAAAAAAATGAAGTAAAGAGTCACCATAGAGTAGCCATTCCTTGCAAAGAATATGAAAGAGTAACTGGGGTGGGCTGGAGAGATGGCTCAGCCCCCAAAGGCTAGGCTCACAATCAAATCTTTAATGAGGGAAAGTTAGGAAATATTTCTGATATAACTTAAAATCAATTCAAGGGAAAAGTCAGCCATTTATTTAAAGAGCTGGGGGACTGGGAAATGGCAGGCCACTGGTGTGGCTGGAACAGAGCAATGGAGGGAACAACACTGGCCGTGATGACAGGATCCAGATGAAGATTATAGACAACATGGTTATGGGGTTTAAATGAGGAATGTTCCCCTGGAGCAGTGTATCTGAACACTTAGCCCCCATCAGTGGTGCTGTTTGGAAGTTTATCGAACCTTAAGAGGTAGAATGCTGCTGAAGGGTGCAGATCACTGGAAGCGGGTTTTAGAGGTTATAGCCTTGGCCAACTTCCTGTCCTCTCTTTCTCTGCTTCCTGTTCCTCCCACCATGCCGTGCAGTCCTTAACATGATGGACTCTAACCCTCTGGAGCTATAAGTCAAAATAAATTCTTTTTTCTTTAGTTTCTTTGGTCAGGTTATTTTATCAGAGCAACAACAACAACAACAAAAACTAAACAAAAAAAACCCCTTAAATCTCTTGGTGACATGTAAAATGTGTGTGTGTGTGCGTGTGTGTGTGTCAGTGACGGGGTGGGGGGCGAGGGAGTGCATAGGTGCATACTCTCCTCCAGGACAGATAAGCATGTGTATGTACTGGGGACAGGAAACTCAGTTTAAGTCTCTGATCTCCAGGCTGTCTTAGAACAGTGTTAATTTATGTAATTAAAATGACTGAAAATGAAGGCATTACTATTGTGTACAGTCACTACCTACAAGGTCAGAAGAGATTCTGTTCTGTTCCTACATCTCTATGTATGTGATGTTATAAGGAAGGAATGATATCTGACAAACAATAACAGAAACACTAATGTGTGTGTGTACATGTGCTCCACTCCCGCCCCTCCTCCTCACATACAGAAAATGGAGAAGATACTTCTTTGGACCTTTTTTAAATTTTTTTTTTATTTTTAGGTAGGGAGGGATGTGGGAGGGAGATTTCAAGAAAGGGTTTCTCTGTGTAGCTCTGGCTGTCCTGGAACTTGCTCTATAGACTAGGCTGGCCTTGAACTCAGCTGGCCTTGAACTCAGAGATCCACCTGCTTCTGCTGGGATGAAAGTTGTGTACAACCACCACCCAGCTAAGACACTTGTTAATGTTACTAAAAATTGTCACTGTCATCAGAAGCACTGTATGAAATAAACATTTTAAAATGGAAAAAAAAACTCCTCAAATCTACATTATCCTTTGTCTAAGAGTATGGTGTCTTTTAGGTGAGAAAACTGATGTGAGCCTCATTTAAAATACTGCAATATTTAATGGTTATTGAGGACTGCACAGGTAGGTGCCTCAATTCCAACAATGAAGGTTTAAGGTGAAACAGCTTAAAAGCATATTTATAGTGAACAGATTATTTGTCCTTTGCTCTGTCACCCACTCCCTTCCCAGGAAAGGAAGTATGACTAGCCACCTTAATTTCCTAACACTAAGTCAGTTTGGGTTGGGAACTCAGCAAGGAAGAAAGACAGTGATGAGTGGTGACAGCCAGGAGTTGATAGAGTGAAAATACTGTCCACAGCATGGGCATACGCAAACCCTTCAAGACAGTTTACCTTACAATATCGTAAAGCTTCCATTAGTGTTAAGAATCCTACAGCTGCTTGTTCATGGATACCGAGAAGTTCTGCAAAAAACAAACAAAACCAAATTTAACACTGCATTAGTATATGTAAGTCTGAGTAATGCATATATATATGCATAAATATATTTATATTCAAACCATGCCAAAATGTTTTCTTTCACCTAAAATTATCTTTAAACCTCTGCACATATGTACTAAAATGTCAAATCAATGATAGTATGTGCCTGGTCCTATTGTAGCGTGTTATGCCGTGTTTGGTTGATGTACCTGGGAGGCCTGCTCTTTTCTGAGGGAAAGTGGATGGGGGGTGTGAATCTGAGGAAGAGGGGAGTTGGAGGGGAGAGACTGAGGTGGTAGGGAGGGAGAGGAAACTGTGGTTGGAATGTAATAAATAAAAGAAGAATAAAAAATAAATTATATCAAATAATCATGTTATCACTATTTATTATAAAATGATACCAGGTAGCTTTGCACTGGGTAGATGTAATGGTTCAAATGTAGATTAAAACTATTTGTAAAACTGTTTAATATTAACTTTTTAGTTAAAAAAAACACTCAGTAACTTAAAGTAATTATTGGAAAAAATACATACACATACACACATGCTCATATACACATGTATATGGCATGGATATATATATCTACATATATATGTATATAGAC